TGGGGGGGGGGGGGGGGGGTGGGCGGAGGAGACGGGAGCTTGTGGCATGATCGAACAGCTTGGCAATCAATGACGGTGGATGACAATGGGGACATTCGATGGTGGGTGCCGGATTTTTGCACGCGCGTCCGTGGATCCGGCTGGAGCTACGCGGAACAACTCCCTGTATCTACCGCATGACAGAACGTAATCTGCATCATGGTGTGACTGATGTAGTCATTGGCGTGAAGGGGAAGGGAGAGAGGGGCTTGATGGGCGCAGTTATGTGCTGATCCCCTTGATCGTCATGATGATGGTGGGCAGTGTAGAATCGTTCCGTCCCTTCACCCCCCCCCCCTCCCCCCTCCCCTCCCCAATCCAAAACACAGTCACACCACATCAACCACATCAACCACATCAATCAACCGCTCAGACTGGCTGAACAGCTGGCGGGCGAACAGTTGGCGAGCGAACAGCTGGCGAGCGAACAGCTGGCGAGTCGAACGATCTTATCGCGCGTGGTACGCCGCATGCCGACGGTCCACAACCGATAAACGATGCGATGGCACCGTCTCGACGCACACGACATCAAAACCCTCGCATCGTCCAAACACACCTCAAACAATAGCCAGCTAGCTTCCCACCATAGCCGGCCAGTCGACTGCCTGCGAGTCGAACGGCTGGTGGCTGGCGTCTGGTGGCTGGTGGCTGGCGTCTGGTGGCTGGTGGCTGGTGGCTGGTGGCTGGTGGCTGGCGGGTGGTGGCTGGTGGCTGGTGGCTGGTGGCTGGTGGCTGGCGGCTGGCGGCTGGCGGCTGGCGGCTGGTGGCTGGTGGCTGGCGGCTGGCGTCTGGTGGCTGGTGGCTGGTGGTTGGTGGCTGGTGGCTGGTGGCTGGTGGCTGGTGGCTGGCGGCTGGCGGCTGGCGGCTGGCGGCTGGCGGGTGGTGGCTGGCGGGCGACAGCAGAGTCTTTCCGCGCGCGCGCCAAAAGACGACAAAGACGATAGCGGCACGGCACACTTGACGCCAGCTCGTTGCTCAGACACAGGCGAGGAGGAGCAGGGCGAAGAGAGAGTTTGGTAGAGTTGTTCCTAGGTGACAAGCAGAGATATGAACAAGTTGTTTGAGGGAGAAATTGGATGGTTTGGGGCGTCTGTTGGTCAAGAGCTTGTCCATAGCTGGCAGGAGCATGGAGGAGAGGTTGTGGCTCATGGAGTGGAAGGAGGAGATGGTGATGGAGATGAAGGAGGTGAGGGAGGCCAAATCATTGCTTCCTTCCTCTTCTCTGATGATGCTCATGAACATGCTGTGGCCATTGCTCAGGCTGCGGGTGCTTACGTCATTACCTCGGCTTGGATCACAGACGCCATCGCTGCCGCTCGCCGCCCTCCCGTCGGCCACTACATCCTGCCCTCGGCTGATATGGCTGAATACGTCAACTGTAAGTACTTGCTGGTCTCTCGCCTCTCTCACACATGGTCTTGCCTACACCATCGCCTCAATCTGCCCGCTCTCGCTTGTCCTGCTTCCCCGCCTCTCGTCACCATCTCGCACAAGTGCTGATCGCTGTGGCCTCGGGCTGGCTGCCGGCTGACCCCCTCGCGCTAGACCCGGCCAAGACTCGGCCATGACTCGGCCAAGAATCGGTTGCAAGCGTAGAACTCTCTCGTCCCCCCCCCCCTCTCCACTCACTCTTCCTCTCCCCGCACAGACCTCAAGGAGCGGGCGTTCAACGAGCCGCGGCTCATCGCTGCCGCTGATGACGTCGATGAGGTTGTGGGTGAGAGCCACGCAAGGCACAACGCAAGTGTGATGCCCATGGACGGCGTTACCTTCTTCAATTTGGATGAGCTTGACCACGACGAAATCCGCATTGCTACCATGTTTGTGGCTCCAGCCAAGTCCTAGGCCGCCATGATTCTCTCCTCGTAAATGAACTACATCAGCCACCGCAGGAGCGCGTCCGCCGGCGGCGCTGTGAGGGACTTGACCCGCTTCGCGGCCGGCGAGCTGGCGAGGAGCGGCTCCGGCGAGCGCCGCCGGCTCCGCCCCGGATTCTGCCGCCGAGCCGCGCGAATGTCCACCTCCTGCCCGAGATACCCGCGGTCCTCAAGCTCCATCCGCGAGTACCGCGTCGATGGTGCGTCGTCGTCGCCACTGGGCTCAGCGCCCGTCGGCTCGTTGCCAGCACGCGCTTCCGCAGCAGCCGCAGTCACGCCTGCCGCAGCACTCCCAGCCTCGCCGGCTGTTCCGCTCTGATCCGGCCGCCGCGCCCGGACAGTCACCTCGGGCGCAAGCTGCATCTGCGCTTCCATCTTGCACATGTACTGCACCAAGGCGTCAAGACCGGTGCCTGACCCAGCAACCGCCGCGTGCGCTTCCACAAGGTCCCGCACCTCGAGCCACAGTACAGAGTACATCAGCGCCACAGAGTTGTAGTTGAAACGGTCCGGGAAGAGGTCAAAGTCGTTGCGCGCCCGCGCAGCCGCAAACGTCTCGAGACATTTCAAGCACGCCGCCAGTTCGCCCTGCGCTGGCTCGCTCACGCTCGTCGCCGCCAGCCGCCCGTTCGCCACCGCATCCACCAGCGGATACAGCATCGTCTTGATCGGCTGGGAGAGCAGCGGATTGAACAGCAACGACTCGGTGTCGGTCACCGGAAACACCAATGTCGCCGTGTCGAGCTTGCCCACGGTGCTTGCCCCCGTCATCGGGCCCACAGACGCCGCCGCCACTGCCGCATAGTCTTCCGTCGCAAACATCGCCGCAGGATGACTCACGCACCGCGTCGTCTCGTGCAAAATGACAAAGTCCGCGTCGGTGATCGGCCGGAACACATACAGCAGTAGCGCAGGCCCTGCAAGATCCAGCCGCAGCAGGTGCGTCGGCGGCAGCATCGCCACGTTCGTCGGATACCCGCTCCCGCTCTCTTTGCACATCACAAGCATTGCCGCGAGCACCTCGGGCCCGCTCGACTTTTGCACCATCTCGCCTAGCAGCCAGTGCCATGCCTCAGAGCCCACATCCCGCGGCGTGACCCGGACCCGCTGCGCCACAGAGAACGCCGCAACATCCACCGCAGCCGTCCGCGGCTTAAACGCAAGCTGCAGCCCGCCGCCAAACGCTCCAGCCGCTGCCAGCTCCACCCGCGCCCCATCGGGGCAGACAATGTCCACCCGCCCTGCCGATGCCAGGCCCAGCACCGTCTCCGCCATTGCGTCGTGGATGTCTTCAGCGCCACACGCCGTCCATCGTGCGTCGACCGCGTCAAGCGTCTTGCGTGCCGGCGCCGCCCACCCGACTGCGCTGTCGACGCTCACAATGCGGAGGCGCAGCTGTCCACTGCCCACACTTTGCGGTGCCGACGCCAGCGACGCCAGCACCGCTCCATGGACCTCGCACAGCACATCGTCGGCTGAGTCAGCCGTCAGCGGCCCGCCCACCGCCACATACACCACGTCGACCACTGCCGCCGTGGCTAGCACATGATCCAGCGCAGCCTCCATCGGAGACTCGCTCGTCACATGCTTCTGGCGCTGCTCCTCCTCAGAGCCGGAGCTGTGCACCGTCCCCACCACATGCATGAGCCCAGCCACAATGTCGTCGACCATTTCGGCCACATCAACCACTCCGGCCGGTCCACCCGACGACTTGCCCGAGCCTCTGGCCATGCGGTGATCAAACGCCGCCGGAGCTAGGACCGTGCCCCCGTCAGCATTGACACCAGCCACAGCCACAGCCTCTGGCACCACCGCCTGCAACTCAACCGCCACTCGCACAGCATTGGCCACACTGCTAGCCACAGCCAAGCCCGCAGGCGCCTCTGGCACCACCAGCTCTACATCCATGGGCAGAGGCAACGACAGCGCTGTCGTCGATGTTGTTGATGTCATCGACGTTGCTGATGCCGTCGATGTCATTGATGCTGCTGCTGCGGTCTTCTTCGTCTTGTTTCTCCTTGTCCTCCCCTTGCCCGTAGTCGCCTCAGCCATGCTGGTCTTCCCCGCCTCTCCAACCACACGGACAACCACCACCAGTCCCGTCCGCACTGTCGTTGCAGCTGCTGCCGCTGCTCCGCCTTGAGCTCCCTGCTTCCCTTGTGACCTTCCTTCTTCGCCAGCTCCTCCTCGCCTTGCCTCGCCCGTACTTCCTGTGCTCATGCTTGCACTGCCGAGTCGAGTCGTCCTCACTCTCTCCCTCTCCCTCTCCCTCTCTCTCTCTGTCACTTTGCTACCGTCACCGGCTGGCGGCACTCGTCACTCGGCTGTCACCTCGCCACGGGGGGGGGGGGGGGGGGGGGGAAGTGGAGGGGAAAAAATTGTTGCCAGCTGGGCGTTTCTCTCGACTCGCTTGCGACTTTTACTCAGTCCGCTCAAAGAAGTCGTCCGAGATGACAAAGGGAGCAGCGGTGAGCGACTTGACCTCGTCGACCGAGACGCCCGGGGAAGTCTCGATGAGAACGAGGCCGGTGCCCTCGACGACGTCAAAGACGGCCTTCTCGGTGATAATGCGATCGACGACGGAGCGGCCCGTGAGCGGGAGGTTGCACGCCGGCAGGATCTTGGGAGCGCCCGACTTGGCGGTGTGCTCCATGGTGACAACGACACGCGAGCCGGACGAGACCAGGTCCATGGCGCCGCCCATGCCCTTGACCATCTTGCCCGGGATGATCCAGTTGGCCAGGTCGCCGTTGGCCGCCACCTCCATGGCGCCGAGGATGGTGAGGTCGACGTGGCCGCCGCGGATCATGGCAAACGACTGCGACGACGAGAAGAGCGACGAGCCCGGAATGGTGGTCACCGTCTCCTTGCCGGCGTTGATAAAGTCAGCGTCGACCTGGTCCTCCGTCGGGTACGGCCCCATACCCAGCAGGCCGTTCTCCGACTGGAGGTGGATGACCACGCCGGGCTCGACAAAGTTGGACGCCAGCGTCGGAATGCCGATCCCAAGGTTGACGTACATGCCGTCGCGCAGCTCCTTGGCTGCCCGCTTGACAATGACCTCGCGGGAGCCGGTGAGCTCGGGCTTCTCGCCGCCAGCCGCCGCCACCGTCCGCCGCTCGATCCGCTTCTCGTACTGCGTCCCGTGGACCAGCCGCTGGACGTAGATGCCCGGCAGGTGGATGTCTGCAGGATCGAGCTCACCGGCCTCCACAATCTCCTCGGCCTCGGCAATGCAGATCTTGCCTGCCGTCGCGCAGTCGGCGTTGAAGTTGCCCGCCGTTCCGCGGAAAATGAGGTTGCCGTGAGTGTCCGCCACATGCGCCTTGACAAGCGAAAAGTCGGCCGTGATCCCGCGCTCGAGCACATACGACCGCCCGTTAAACTCGCGCACCTCGCGCGGCTCGGACGCAATCTCCACCTCGCCGTCAGCTCGGTACTTGATGGGGAACCCGCCCTCCTGGACAAGCGTCCCGGCCGCCGTCGGCGTGTAAAACGCCGGAATGCCCGCGCCGCCAGCCCGCAGCCGCTCAGCGAGCGTCCCCTGCGGCGTGAGCTCAACCTCGAGCTCGCCAGTCAGGTACTGCCGCTCAAACAGTTTGTTCTCGCCCACATACGACGAGACCATGCGCTTGATCTGATGCCCCTGCAGGAGCAAGCCAAGCCCAAAGTCATCCACTCCAGCATTGTTCGAGTACGCCGTCAGGTTGTTCACCCCCGACGCCACCAGCCCGGCAATGAGATGCTCAGGAATGCCACAGAGACCAAAGCCTCCCACAGCCAGCGAGGCGCCCGACGGAATGTCGGCCACAGCCTCTTCCGCCGACTCCCACACCTTGGATGCCCCAATCACAGCACTTCCATGGAGCGCTCGAACAGTACCACCAGACATCATCATGCTGCTGCTGCTGATGCTGCTGCTGCTGCCGTCATTGCCTGAACGAGTCATTGCTTCTGCCACAAATCGACCAAGACGACCAGCTCCAGTTCCAGTTCCAGCACCAAGACCAGGACCAGCACCAGCCAGCAGCCCAGCTGCTGCTCTCCCAGCCATGCGACCTGCCGTCAACGTGGTAAACATCTTTGCTCTTAGCCTACAAACTACTTGCCCTCGCGTTCCTTCCCCTCCTTCCGTCAAAAATAAAAAAGAGAGAGGCGTACTCTCCGCCTTTCCCCTTCCCCCCCTACCCCTTCAACGTCAGCTTGTCTCTCTCGCCCCCTGTCATGCTTGCGTTGTTCAGGAACTCCGCAGGTGTCGCCGCTTTTGCGCTCAGTTTTTTTTTTGCGCCGCTCTCAACAGAGGCACCTTTTCTTGACCCCCCGCCGGCTCCGTCCAGTAGAACTGGATGATGCACAGAATACAGGCCAGGCCGTGGCAAGTACAATGTCAGGTAGAGTGTTTCAGCTCATGGGGGGGAGAAGTGCAACAGACGATCGCATCGCTGCAAGAGACGCGCTCTGATTCGGCTTCTGAGCCTGCCGCTCGTGCTCCACCTGGTGGACGTGATGCACGACGGTGTCAACTAGCTGGAGCCCGCCGACGGGGGCATCGGTCTATCAGCCACACCTACACTATGTACCACGTGTCGTCAACCACTACCCTTCTGCCATCAATCACAAACCCCTCCCTTGCCAAGCTTGCCCGTGTCGGCTTCCTCACTCACGCACCAGGTACTTGCTCGCTCGCTGATCACACACCTGGGCGCACCCGTAGCTAAAAGAGATTTTCTGCGACGCTGAACAAGGTCTACGCCACCGCGGACGAGTCCATAATCATGGACGCGGCCTCGAGCTCGGCACGCCGCATCGACTCTTCGTCGAGCTTCTTACCAAGCTCTGCCCGCTCGCCAATGGCGTGCTCGAGACGGAGCATGAGCTCGTCCTGGGTCTGCATCGACTCGTTGGCGAGCTCGCGATTGCGAGCCTTGAGGTCGTGGAGCTGCATCTGCAGGTTGCGGACCTTGGAGACAAGCTGCGTCTCGAGCCGCTCCTCCTCGGCCACGGCGCGGGCCGACTCGCGCTCTGCGGCGGCGCGGGCCTTCTTCTCCTTGAGCAGCTCGCCGGTGGTATCCTCCAGCGCGAGCTCGGCGTCGGCGGCACGCTCGCGCTCGCCCTGCAGCTGGGCGCGGAGCTTGGCAATGATGGCGTCGTAGTCGGCAGCCTGCTGCTCGCGGGCAGCGCGGGCATGCTCGAGGTCGCGCTGGAGGCCAGGCAGAGTGGCAAGCCGGCCTTCAAGCGAGGCGAGGCGAGAGTGAGCCTCGGTCAGGCGTGACTGCAGGTTCGAGACAGAGGCGCGGAGCTCCGAGATGGTGGTCTGGGCGGCGAGCAAGTCGGCGTGCGACAAGGACCGGAGCTCGTCGCGCTCACGGGAGAGGGCGTCAACCCGCGACTGAAGCGACTCAATCTGAGGGAGCAGCGCCGACGCCGCCGATGCTGCCGAAGCCTCGGCACGCTCCTTGTCCTCGGTGGCCGACCGGAGGCGCGACTTGAGCCGGGCCATCTCGCGGTCGGCATGTGCCAGCTCCTCGGCGCGCTCGCCAGCCTCGCGGTTGAGCAACGAAATCTCGGCGTTGAGTCTCGCCCGCTCGGCGTCAAAGTCAGCCGAGAGCTCGGCCCGCAACGCGTCGAGCGCCTCGCGCGAGACCTCCGAGTGCGGATCCAACCGAGCCTGCATGGCGGCGCGGAGCTGGACCTCGTCAAAGAGCTTGCGCTCGAGAACCGACCGCTCCTCGGAGAGCCGCGCCACACGCAGCCGCAGCGCAGAGACCTCGCTTGCGCTCCTGCTCTCCATCTCCGAGTACGTGTCCAGGAGCGAGTCGTACTTGTCGCGCCACTCGTCGCGGGTCGCGCGGAGGCCCGAGAGCTCCGACTCGAGCGACGCCACCGCCCGCTGGAGCTGGCTCGTCTCGGCCGCCGCGTCCGACGACGCCGCCGCCGCTGCCGACTCGAGCGACGCGTTGCGGCTCTTGAGCGCATCGCGCTCCGCTGCCACAATGTCACACTCCGCCGCCACCGCACCGTTGGTCTCCTGCAAGAACGCCGCGTTGGCCTCGGCGGCCTCAGCCCGCGCCTGAGCGTTGGCCAGCTGGCTCTCCAGGCTCTCCGCCCGTGCGCCGACCTGGCTTCGCTCCTCTTGCAGCGCATCGATCTGATTCTGCATCGCCGCTCGGGTCTGCAGCTGCTCGGCGAGCTTGTCGTGCTGGCTCTGGATCCGCTCCACCGCGTCCTGCGCTTCGGCCTTATCAGCCTGCGCCGCGAGGAGAGCAGCGTTGAGCCGATCGCGCTCCGCCGCCGCGTCAGCCCGCGCCGTGCTGAGGTCTTCCTGGCCCTTGGCCACCTGCGCGGCAAGGCTTGCACGCTCGGCCTCGAGCGCCTCGGCCTGGGCCGACAGCAGTGCAATCTGCCGCTCGGCGGCGGTCCGTGCCGAGAGCGCCTCGTCAAGCTCGCTCTGCAACGCCTCAACCTGCGCCTCCTGCTGGGCGGCGTACGCCTGCGCGTCGGCAAGCCCGGCCTTGAGCGTCGCCACGTCGCCTTCGAGCCGGCGGACGGTCGCCTCGGCCGTGGTCTGCGCCTTGGCCGCCGCACGCGTCGCACGCTCGAGCTTCTCTTGCACGGCATCGTTGTCGAGCTGCGCCTCCTCCAGCGCGTCCTTAAGGTACGCCACCTTTTCGTTGGCCTGGGCCATGACCTCGGCCCGGATCTCGTCGTAGGTCTTCGACCGCGACTTGAGCTCCGCAGTCTCAGCCTCGAGCGAGACCCGCTGCCGCAGCACACTCTCGTGCACGTCGTCAAGCTCGGCTTTGCGCGCGGCAAGCGAGTCGTACTTGGACTGCAGCGTAGCAAGCGCTGTCGAGACCTCGCCGCGCTCGGAAGCGAGCTCGGCAAGCTCGCCGCGGAGTCGCCCGGCCTCGCGCTCAGCCTCGGTCCGCCCGGCAGCCTCCTCGGCCAGCTTGGTCTTGAGCAGCGCGCCCTCGTAATCGAGCTGCGCCAGCGCGTCTTCAGCCTCGGCTTGCTCACGCGCGCGGTCCGACTGGAGGTCGGTGACCCGGTTGCGGAGCGCAGTGTGCGACTTGGCGAGGGCAGCAAAGTCCTCCTCTAGGCCAACCATCTCGTCAAGCTGGCGGCGGAGGATGCGGATCTCAAACTCGAGCTCCTCGATGACAGCGTTTTTGGTCGCCTCCAGCTTGCCGTGCTCCTCCTGCAGCGAGGCGAGGGCCCGAACCGACTTGTCAGCCATGGCCGCGGTCTTCTCCAGCGCAGCCTTGGCATCGGCCGCCGCACCCGCCGCCGCCTCGCGCCCGGCCCGCTCCTCCACCAGCATGGCCTGGGCCTCGGTCAGCGAGCTGCGGAGCGACTGGATGTTCGAGTCTGCGTACGCCTCCGAGTTGGCCACCGCGCCCTGGGCATCCTGCGCCTCGCGCATGAGGCGGAAGGTATCCACCTCGTACCGCGACCTAAGCTCGAGCAGCGCTGCCGAGTCGCGCTTGTGCTTGGCCGAGATCTTTGCCAGCTGCTCCTTGAGCGACTCGTTCTCTGCCGTCAGCGTCACCACCTTTGCCCGCAGCTCCTTCTCCATCGAAGCCCTTGCCGTTGCCTCTGCCCGAGACAACCTGTCCAGCTCCTCCAACAGCGTCACTTGAACGTGTTCCTTGACAGTATCATACTCTGGCGAGAGAACAGACGTGCCTTCCACATACGATCGCTCACCAACCGTTACCGGCTCACCACCACTGACACTCTTTCCCCAGCCACTTGCCGTTGTCTGCTGAACACGGAGGCCATGACCATCTTGACCATACTCATACCCTCCATCATCCCCACCACCACTACCACTCTTCTTCCTCCTCCTCCTCGTCGTCGTCGTCTGGTTCATCCCGCTTCTCGTTGTCAGCCTCCCGCGAGGATACCCGTCCACCGCCAGCAAGTCATGGTTGGTGTCACCCTCACCTCCTCCTCCGCCTCCTTCTCCTCCAAGAACATCACGCTCACGGGTGGGAATATGTTGCTCATCCCCTCTACCAGGTACCGGTGGCAGTGGCCGTGACATATGACCCGTTGCAACTGAGAGAGGCGTGGCTACTGCAACTGCTACCATCCCCTTTGGGCCGCTCCCCTGCCCTGCCGACCGCCCGCCCTCCACCCGCGCCTTTGTTGCCTCGGCCAGCCGTTGGTCAGCCGTTGTTGCCTCATTTGGCTGGTCATTCGAGCGTTCGATTGGGGGGAGGGTGACAGGGGGGGGGGGGGGGAAGGGGGAGGGGGAGGGGAGGGGAGGAGGGTCTCTCTCTGATGATCGGAATGGACTCGCTCAGAGAAATGGACAACGGCTATGTCCTCCTTTGTGTGTATCGATCAGCGGGGGACAGGCATCTGTGACTGGTGGTGGTGGATGGCTCGGAGCTTGGGATCAGTCAGAGCATTGTGCTGGTGGGAATGGCGCCGGCGGAGAAGTAGCGATGAGGGCGATGATGGGATGATGGTACCCGCTTGCTTTACCTTTTGCTCACGACGAGTACGAGTACGAGTAGTCGGAGGACGAGCCACGCGAGTTCGACTCTTTGTCCGAGTCTTCGACCAGGACTGGGGCCTTGGCTCCGGGCACAACGCCCTCGACATTCTGATGGGCAATTTGCTCAAAGGTCTTGGACTTGGAGGCCTTGGCCTCGCGCTTGGCGGCGGCTTCGGCCTCCTGGCGGGCGCGGACGGCAGCGGCAGCATCCTCAGCAGCGAGACGGGCAGCACGGCGGCGGCGGCGGCGCTTGAGGCAAGCGAGGAGGAGGAGGGCGACAATGACGACAATGACCACGCCGATAAAGACGCCGACGGTTGCGCCGGCAGCAAGCCCGGCGTTGTCGGTGCACTTGGGGCAGGCTGGGCAGCCGCTAGCGGCCGCTGCCACGCCGACAATCGCGCATTCGCCGGCAGTTGTGGTGCAGTCGAGCGTGGCCCGACGCGCCGAGCCGCCAAGCAGCCGCCGGGTGGTGCCGCGGGTGGCGCTCCCACTGGCGGTTCCCATGCACCGCCGCGCAGCCAGCGACGACGACCAGGCTGCAAACTCGGCCTCATCGATGGCACCCGAGCCGTCGACGTCGGCGGCGGTGAACGAGGCGCACGACGAGGAGTCCCTGGCCGTGGCGGCCTCGTCCTGGAGCGTGATGGTGGTAAACTGGCCGTTAAAGGCAGAGAAGCCGGAAAAGAGCACAACGCGTGTTCCAACGTCAAAGGTGTATGCAGCAGGAATGGCGACAACAAGCGAGCCAGCAGCAGTCACGTTACCGCTTGAGCGGATGGTGATGGCCGGGACCGAGTCGCCGACACGGAAAGTGAGGATGGAGCCAACGGTAAGATCCAGATCCGAGGTGGAGACAGTGCCATCCTTGACGGTGAGCGCACCACGGACTTCCAAGTCGTCCAAGTTGAGAACAGTCCTCACATCAAGCGTCGTCGTCGCCGCCACCACCAGCTTCCCACTCACTGTCGTCGACAACGTCGAGTCGATGACAATGTTCGCATCAGTAAACGATTGCATGCAGAGATTCGTCACACTCTTGCCGGCCACGTTGCTCGCCGTTGTGTTTGACGGGCATTGTCCATGTGCTGTGAAGGAGGAGATTGTTGAGGGTGAGGGTGGAGGGGGTGGGGGGGGGGGGGGGGGGGAGGGAGGGTAGGGGGGTGGAGGGTCGGGTGGTGGGGGAGGGGGACGGAGGGGGACGGGCGGGAGGGCAGTAGGGGAC